AGAAATTGAAGAAATCCCAAGAGAGATCTACAAATATATTGAATTCTGTGAAGGCGAAGTGCATAGATCACTCGACAAATTTTGGTTCCCGGTACAGGGTGACGTTCAAGGATTGAAATGCACAACAGAAGACATTCAGAAGAAGATCGAGAGCATCAAGAGACAGCTCGCCAACCGACCTGCACAATCCGCATTGATCGACGAGCCATTGCACCAATCGACCGATGGACATCCATCCACATCGATCGACAAGACTATACCAAGATCGATCGATACTAACCCTTCCCTTGTGCACCACACCCATAACCTCGATCCATTGCAGATGAGTACTAATCGAGAGCACACTTACAACAACATTGGACGACATGAGTGCAGTTTATCCAGCATTGAGGAGTGGCTACAGAGAATCCACTATGAGGTCCATGGTTTGCAAGCTAGTATGACCCGAAGCGAGAAAGCCACAAGAAGATTTTTAACTTCATGGTTTGAAGAATCACAAGACAAGGAGGATACTAGTTTCCCAACAAGTACCTGCAACCTACCTCACTAGCCACAATACCTCCATAGTCAAGCTAAATGACTTTACTAAGCGCTGAGTGGGAGGCAACCCACTGTTAGGTATTTTCTTACTTAGTTTTATTTTATTTTTACTTATTACTTTCGTTTTTATTTGTTGTTAGGAACATAGCTACACGATCACTACCTCTATCGACCGATGAGACCATGTCTACATCGCTCGACATAATCCTATCCATGACGATCGATGGAAGTGACTCACCATCGATCGATACGAACATTGGTCAGGTATATCGTTCTCAATTTCGATATCAGTTACACATTTATTATTTATTATGCTCTAACTCCGACTAGTTATACACTGAGGATAGTGTATGATTTAAGTCTGGGGGGAGTGGAATTACTGATGCTACTTTACCTTTTTGATCTCTTTAAAAAGTTTTCAAAAATTGGTTTTATTGAGTTAAGAAAGAGATAAAAAGATTTCAAAAATTTTTCTCTTTATGGTACCACTCTTTAGCACCATTCTTAGAATTGTTGATTGCAGAAAGTACTATTGATGCTAAAATGGATCACCAGTCACCTATGACAACACTTTTCATGATTGTTTGGAAGAACCAAAGCTGATTTCCAACCTAACCTGACATCTATTGCTTGTCTTGGGGCTTGGTATACAAGGGATCGGAATCCTTCTGCAAGTCTGGAAGGTAAAAGTCTCAAAAATTTTGGTTTCTTTCTCTCTTTCCTTTGGCATCCCATAAAGAGAAAATAAAAGATTGAGATGATTTCCTGAGAGGCAGAGGGAGAGGTACATTACCCATGACCCCACTATTCTAAATCAAAGGAATGATCACACATTGTGGAAGCGAGGGAGAGGTAAATTACCTATGACCCCACTATTTGCCTACACTTTGTCAAGAAAACACTACAAAAAAGTAGTAGAGAAAATCAATAAGATGAATATATGATGTTCATTGGGATTGATATAAAAGAAAAGAAAATTTGGGATTTAGAGAAGGGATAAAAAGAGAGAAAAGGAACCAGAATGAGAATGCCTGAAACTTGCTTGACTTGAATCCAAGTGTTCTTTGATCGATACTCCCAAGGTAAAGCCTACACCTTTATTTTATGCATAAATGAAATCTGTAGAGGGGATAACAGACAAAATTGTTTAAATTGATTGGCTAGATGATTTGGTTGCTAAGCTAGGATATGGTATAATGTACTTATGTGGTTAGTAACATGAGATGTGACTTGCAACAAAGTAGAAGTGATGATTTTAAAGTTAAGATTTTATTGAGTCCCTACTGTTTTTAAACTTCTTCCAAAACACTACTAATGGTTTGCTTGAGGACAAGCAAAAGGTTAAGTCTGGGGGAGTTGATATACCATGATTTTGATCCGCTTTTAGCCATGGTATTGATATGTTTTTATAAGTTTTATATATGTTTTGGACTCTATTAGGTATGTTTTCAGGTTCAGGAGCATTTTGGAGTAAAGTGATGATTTAGGTGCCCTTATGGAGCTTAAAGGAGATTTTTCCGAGATGACTATGAAAATCAGACAACAAGGATACATATCGATTGATACACACCCTGTATAATCGATCGATGACGCTTCTATTGAAGTTGAAGTCGAGATACTCCATCGATCGATGTACACCATATACCATCGATCGATATGAAGCATGGGGAACAAGTCTAACTTGGCCGACTTGAAGCCCAAGTTTCCCCAATATTACAAGAATGCCCCTGACGAGTTTTTAACCTAATGGAACTCATATTTATAGTTATGCCTATGTTTTTGGCAAAAGATGTTTTTGAGTGTTTTTATGCTTTTGTGTTTTTGATACTATTTTATACTCAGCAATAAAGTATTCTTTTCATCTTAATTCTCAAAGGTTATAGAATTCTAAATTTAGAAGAAACACACAAAGAGATTTGTTGTTCCAAAGAACCAAGAGTTCAATCTTCTAATCTTATGAATTTCTATTATTACCTTGCTGTTATGAATCTCATAGCTATGTCTGAATAGATTCCTTTGTTAGATTTAGGGTTCAACTAGTTATGAGGGATTATCCCCAACTATGGAATGTTGAGTTGTGATATTCATTATCCAGATGAACCCTAATGCTTACTCTAGAGTAGCTAACTAGAGTATGATCATGGATGTGATTTAAATTGTTAATCATTATCCTGAAATCATTTGGCATAAGCTTAGATCCTCTAGGGATGTGCGAGAGCCGGTCTATGATCTTGGTGAACATGATTTCGATTCGATCTTATGTTATATCGATCGATACTCTTATAGAGTTATCGATCAACGGCAACCCATATCGTCCGATATCGCTGTCAAAACATCGGTCGATATTGCCGGTAATATGATCAATGGATGAGTCTATTTAGCAACTGCTATTAGATCTGTCTAAGAATCGAAGTTCTTATATATCTTGCAAGCAACTTACTAAAACATATGTAGCATTATAATCCTGATTATCTGAATAGCAACCTTAAATCTAACTACTTTCTTTTATTGTTTCAAAACCAAAACATATTCTCTTGAGCAACTTACCATTGCTCACAACCGCAATTTACTATTTTAAACCTGATCAACCTAGCATAATCACTTAGGATCATATCTTTTTTGTTCCTCAGTTCCCTGTGGATTTGATTCCTAAGTACTACAACTGAACCTCTTATTTGAGAGAATAATTCACTTTTTAGGGTTAAACATTTGAGTGATATCAGCTATCGGAATGTTACCAGTAATCAAGCGTTTTGCCACGAAGGCGGATTGTCTCTGAGATCAAACGTGGAATAACCCTCTTAAGTCTCTTGCATAAGAGCTTAGAATATAATCTTGTAGCTAACATTGCAGAGACTAATAGGTCTAAACTCAGTCATGTCTCGGGGTTTCTTCTTTTTAGGTATGAGACAAATATTCGTTTGGTTCAGAAGTGGGTCAAAACTTCATGACGCAAAGAAATCTTGTACGAGTCTAATAATGTCTTGACGCATCTCATGCCAGAATTTTTGAAATAATTTACTAGTTATGCCATCCGGTCCGGGTGCTTTGTCTGGATTAATTTCAAATAAGGCTCTTTTAATTTCTTGTTCCGACGGTTTTTCTAAAAGTAACCTATTGTCGACACTCGACACCTTCTCTGATATAAATAGGAGGGAATCGTCTATATTGGTCGGCATAGAGGTACAGAAGAGATCACGAAAGTATTGAACTGCCACGTTCTCTACCTCGATTTCACTCTCTACCAACTTCCCATGTTTGTCTTTAATACTGATGATTCTATTTTGGGCCCTCCGTTGTTTTGTAATTGCATGATGAAATTTTGTATTTTTATTATCATATTTATGCCATTGATCCCTATTTTTTTATTCCCAAAAGTATTTTATTCTCTAAATGCTGATATCAATTGTCTTCGTAACTCCTCTAGCTCTTCTGTCGTAGAACTATCATCATCTTGAGCCAAGTTTATCTTATCTTTTAATTCTTTTATCAAAGTAACATCTTTTAGTTCTTTTATCAAAGTAGCGGTTCTGAAGAACTTATATTTTTCAGGGAATGTTTTATACTATTATATGGTTAGACGAGAAATGATCATATAAAACTGAATGTAAGTGGTATAACCATAACATAAATATATTTATTCCAATAAAACTAAGAAAAGCTTGAAAAAAATGCAAAGTGAAACTTTGAAGATATTTATTTGTATAACTTCAAACTTTGTATAACTTCTTGCACGAAAACTTTTGTCCCAATTGTTTTTGAGGAAAAATTAAAATTTTCCCGCCGTTACGATTCGACTCTGTCTCTCCATACAAACTGTCTTAATTGTGCGTTGCTGATGAAGTGGGAAGAGGCACAAATGGTCTAATTGTTGGCTTCCTACTCCTTCTCAAAAGAAAAATTGTGTTGGCTTCCTTACATCATAAGCAGCACACAACTAAAGGCTATACAACACACTGAGAATGTTGCTAGTTCTTAGCTTCTAGGTCTAATTACCATGCTTTAGACCCTAAATCAACATATTAAATGCTAATCAGTGGAGAATACAAAACCTTGGGTCCCAAAACTGAACTGCATAACACCAACTAACAATGGCGAAAAAGAACAGGAAAAGGCCGGAACAAGGCTGAGAAACAAGAAGCTCGTGAAGACGTTCACTACTACAAAACCGAGAATGATCAAGAAAGAAACTCATCATCTACAACTCTAACTGAAACAGGAACAGAGACATAAACTTCTACCACTACCATGAAACTACAGATCCAAAACTGAGAAGAAGCCCAGGCACAAGTTGAAGAAATTTGAACTCGGAAGGAGAAAATGTCAACCAAAACGTGTACGATTCTTACACGCTGACACATGCACACCAGTCTCAGACTCTATCATACTAAATAATGGTCACCTTTTAGCAAGAGAAGACGTGAAAGATTGAACCACTGCGACCCTTATAAGTTATAACCCAACGAATGGTCTTCCCAGTTTGTTTTGTTAAATTTATATTATTATTAACGTGTTTTGTGTTGTTCGCCCTAATATAATAAATCACCTTAGAAAAAACATTACAGAGACATACAGAGTACAGACAGATGTAATTATTCCATAACATATCGTAATCTGTCATCTCCTACATCTCTCCCTTAAGAAAACCTGCGAATATGTTCATGGCTTCAAGAGCTTTCTCACAATCAGGTCTCATCAAATGAAACACATGGTCTTCTCCTTCACTCTCCACCAACTTCACTTCTCCTTTCCACCCACTCTTCTCAAGCTTCACCTTGTAACCCCAGCCTTGCCTCGCAAGAATATCTTTCTCAGCCACCAACACCAAAACCTTCCCGCAACCCAACCCGGAGATATCCACCGACTCTGACTGAACCACGTTGAGCCACGGATCATCCACTCCGTCTTTGTTGTTGGGACTAGCGATCATCCATATCGAATCGATCTTGGACCGGACCGTTGCATCCTTTGTCTCCATGTCGTCGACTGGTGTTTTCGACCAGAAGTAAGGATGAACCAAGATGATCCCGGAGATTCCTGAGTCGCTTAACTCGGGACTTAGCTTCTCTTTGGCAGCTCTCATCGTCATGTGATGAACGATGTTGGCGCCGGCGCTGTCTCCGGCGAGGAACACTTTGCTGAAGTCGGCGTGTTTGTTCAACCAGCTTTCGGGTCCGGTTCCGGCGATATGGGTGAATACCCATTTGAGAGACGTCCACGAGTCATCGTAAGAGATCGGAATCGGATGCTCCGGTGCACGCCGGTAATCCACCGACACGGCTACGCAGTCGGAAGCAGAGACAGCCGCCGTGAGGAAAGTGTGGTAAGAGGGGGAGAAAGCTGTTTCGATGATGAATCCTCCTCCGTGGAAGTAGACGAGGAGAGGGAGTTTCTCACCGGCTTTCTCCGGGAGGTAAACGCGGACGGAGAGGTTGTGGTCGGGTGAATAAACGACGTCTTTTGAAATGACGCCGTTTTGTGGGGTTGAAGAGGGTGGGACGGGGGTCTCTCCAATGAGGCGCTCGATGCGGCCACTCTTGTAGATTTTGAGGAACGGAGAGTAGTCGAAGGCGATCTCGGAATCCATGGTTGGTTTGATAAGATTTTGATAGTGTTTTGGTTTGTGTGTGTTTAAATTGAGAAATGGTGTGTGTGTCTGTAATACTATTGGAGCTTCGTTTGGTTGAGAATGGATATGTGATCTGTGTTGAATATCCATTACACGGAAGATTTATTTGCCACACAATTCACACTAGGCGTTAAATTGTTGACTAGTCAAGACAGTGAGAATCAAGTTAAGATAATTTTTGCAGGTTTTTATGGCGAATTTCTTTGTACTACTTTAATAAAAAGTTTCCTAACTTTCTATTTAAAATTTAAGAAATAGTTTTTTATATCTTCTTAAAAATTTTGCCTTAAGAAACATACAATAATGATGCTCTTATTTTACAATGTACCTTAATTTCTTTCTCTTTCTGACCTCTCTTTCTTTAAAAGTTTTTTTCAACTTATTTTTGTGTTCACTCCCTAAAGTGAACATATACAAATAGTATTGGATTATTTCATATTTGATATCTTTTAAAAATGATACAAAATATTATCAAATTTATATTATGTTTTTGAAATAAAAAGGTAAAAATATTAACTATTAACTTCAAACAAAAAAGTTGAAGCAGTTGCAAAAAAGTATTAACTATTTTTAATACCATCATCAAAAGACTAAACTTAAACCTTATCCTAAACCCTAAACCCTAAATCCTAAACCTTTGAGTAAACCTTAAACTTTTAAACCCTAAACCCTAAATAAAAATACTAAATATTAAAAACACTAAACATTTAATCCTAACCTCTAAACGTAGAAAAACTAAATAAAAATATCAATAGTTGCTAAAAAAAGAAATTTTAAGAATATTTTTAACACCGTCAATAAAACACTAAACCTTAAATATTAAACACTAAATCTAAAACACTAAACCTATAGGATAAATCAGAATTTATCCAAGGGTTTAAGGGTTAGGATTAAAGATTTAGTGTTTTTAAGATTTAATTTTTTTTTATTTACTGTTTAGGATTTATCCAAAGGTTTAGAATTTACCCAAGGGTGTAGGGGTTAGGATTTAGGGTTTAGGGTATAGTGTTTTTTTCATAGTATTAAACATATTAAACCATTTTTTGGCAACTACTAGTATTTTTTTTTTCATTGTAAAAATAATATAAGTTGAGAATATTTTGTTTCCTTTTTTAAAAGATATTGAATGTGAAATAACACAATATTATTGGTGGTTTACCATCCTAAAGGATGAACCTAAAAATAATTCTTTTTTCTAACAACTTAAATTTATTAATATAATAATAAAGTAGATATAAAGATAACTAGGTGGTTATCCACATGGATGAATGGAATAAAATATATATTAATAATTTTTAAATATTAATTTTAATCATTCAACCATCATTTCATAAGTTTCCAAACATACATTCATATACTGTTAATATAAGATTGATGAGAAGTATCATGTTTGTTGATTTTGTTTTTTAAAAACCTATATAATTTACATTGGAATTCAATGATCTCATCCAAATGTTATAATTTACCATCCCAAATTTGATATAAATTTTGTTTTGAAATGATATGATTAAATAACATTTAATATATGCTTTTACGCAAAATGAACATTAATTATGTATACAAATTATTATACATATTATTATTTATTTTATGTTCATTTACGTATTATACAATAATAAATATATTGAATAATTGAGAAACGAGTAACTATTACGTATACAACTAAATTGGAGTACATAAATAAAAAGAATAACATTTTGCATTTAAAATTATTTTATGGTAAAAAAAAAAATCATTTATTTATTTTATATGGCATATAATTAAAATTAAATGATATTGAAATACATATATAGTATATTTTATTATGAATATTTATTAATTAGAGTTTCGTACTCATATGATTTTATTAAAAATTTTATATTTACTTCAACAAAAATATTACTTTTATTAATATTAATTTTTATTAATTGACGTTTCATACTCAATGCAAATTTTGAAATTAACATGTTTGTGTGTTTTATATATGATATTTATTTATTTATTTTACTCTGAATAAATATTAAATGAGATTTCATATTTATATAATTTTGTGATCATTATTATATTGTTTTAACAAAAAGTTAAATTATTGATCACAAAATTTTTGAATTGACTTATTAACAGTCTTATATATACACATAGCCTATTGCATACGTGTAGATCAAATGAGCACATCCGGAAATAGCTTAACGTAATATGGTTTATAAATTTGGGGATTGCATGCTTTCAAAAGAAGGTATGTGTATGAATAATTACCGCCCCGCACTTTTTGAGGCAGAATTTATATACAAGAAGGTAAGTTTGTGACAGCACAAATAGTCATCTTTTTTTTTTTTTTTTTTTTCACAAATAGTCATCTAACCCGAAAACATATACGATTAAACTAATTATAGGCAAGATAAAACCTCGTACTTGCTGCTCTTGTCATGTGCATACGGAGTAATGTCCATGATCTTTCCAGTTGTGTGCCAATGTTTTTTTTTAAAACGGATCTATAAAATCCAGACCCACTTGGAACTACCTATAAGCTCTTCTCACCTGAAGTATGTGCCTTTTAGAGCTTGTCTTGAGACGGTAATGACAAGTTTAGCCGAAGTTTCAATACGTGTTAGAAATTTTAGGCAAATCAATAACATCTGAGCTTGAACCCTAGAGCATTGGCATCACCAAAAGAGTTAGAGATCATAATAGAAAATATTTATAGTTTTCTTCTTAATTCCTTTTGGCTTTCAGATGTATTATCCAGCACAACCGTTTGAGTACATTTTATGATGTTATGACCTTGCTCGAGACAATTCTCAAAAGTATTCTTTAATTTCCTACTATACCACTTTTTATTAATGTTAACGGTCTTTTTATCCTATCTTCATTATTTGGAAAACCATGCATCATTTTATCGGATGGTAAAAAGATTGCAAAATTTTCAGTAAAAAAAATTTCACAATGTTAACGAGATTTGCATGTTATATATGCGAATATATGATTTATTGTGAGAGATTAGTTAATGTGTTGTTTTCAAGTCTTTAAAAGTTCTTCCTTGGGGCCCTTCTTCAACTACTATCTCCTACCTTTCTTCATGAAAAGTCACTAAATTTTTGAGGTTTTTTGTTGTTATATTGACAACTATCAAATTTAGTCTAACCACAAACTACAAAAATATGAAAACTATAATATATTTGTCTAACAAAATTTACTATATACAATTAAAAATTAAATAAACCTATTAAATATCTAATTTATTAAAACACAATCATTGTTAATATTTGCCCTTTTAACACCATGGAATATTACTGTGACGTTTGGAGTTGCCGATTTGTGCACCTGTAAAAATGCCATCGTCCTTTCAAACAAATTATTTGTCCTCGTTAATGATAGAATAGTAATTAACCACTTTGACTAACAATGACTTTAACTATGCAACCGTAATACCTTTTTTTATATATGTGCTTTGAAATGTAGTGTAATATATACTTCTGAAAACATTTACCATACGCCGCAACCGTAATACCTTTTTTACAATATTAATAGTATTGTTAAAACTTTAATATTTTTTAAACTTTCTAAACACAAATATACAAAAAATAATATATGACTAAACTATAGTTTAGCTCTGTCAGAAAAATTATAGTTTCTGAATAAAACATAATACACTAAATATTTTTACCCTAAATATTTAAATTTAGACTTTGAATATTCTTTTGACCATGAAAATACTTTGATATCTCTTGAATTAAAAAAACAAAATCTTAATTCAACTAAAACCGAAAATAAAATTAACCAGATTGGAATCAAACTGAAAACTAGATTATCATGTTCAACATATTAGTGAACAAACACAAAAATTAATAAATTTTTCAAGAAAAATATACCCACCCTAATTTTTCAAGAAAACTATTCCCGCCCTTAGAAAGGGCGGGTCAAACTCTAGCAGTTAGTTATAATCTTTTCATTTGTAATAGGATAATTAACCAGACAAAAAAAAACATTTTCATAAGATTAATCAAACTACGATTTATTGCATATTCTATACCATATATCTTTAAGTTAAGGAAATTTCTAACTTTAAATTTGAATTATACTGTTGTGTTTGGTGAACTGGTTTAATTGGGTTGTATATTTTATAGTCATGAAGATGTCATCATAATTAGTAATCATTGGAGAAAATGTTGTCATGGTGTGCACATAAATAGTAAATAGTCATTTTAAGTTTTGTATCACATTTGAAGGTGCTACATTTACAGCATCAATCGTAATAGTGAAATGTTTTGTACAATATTTTTGTCTATTTACAACCAAATACACAATTTTCATAGCAAAAAAATATAGCAATATATAATGCTTACACCGATGCGCCTGTTGTCTTTTAAAAGATCAACACTGCACAGCTCGTATTGGTATTATATCACAATAATGTAATGACCTTCGCTAAAGAGTAAAACACAGACAAGGAAAACAATCATGTAACGGCCGAGAAATTACTTTAGTAAGCGGAAGTCGGGTTCATATGTTTCGGTGGATGGCTTTCGATCCCAAGATACATAGGATAATATCAGAACTGAAAAATAAATTCTTCAGGAAATTTAGTGGATTGAAAACGCATGAGGTTCGGCATAGAATATCTTAGTCGGACGAGAAAATAAACAAAAATTTATGACCTAGACTTAATTTAGAAATGTTTCGGGTATGAGGATTAAAGGTTTTGATCAAGAAGAAACATTTTTGACAGCGCGGATCAGCTTACAACACGTTCAGGATTGAACACACCATTCGAGTCCATTTATGACTATTAAGCGTGTCCGAAAACTTTTGGAGAATGCAGCTGCTTGTTTGCCTCCTCAAGCAGCTGGACATGTGTCACTTCTTGACTGACCTAGCTCTTGTTTCAATCTTATTGGTTAGCTTGGCAGCTGGCCAGAAAGATTTGTTTCATTTGCCAAATTTGTAGATGGAGACCAAACTTCCTCCTATTCACTATTTTGGTGGCTAAGCCTCATGCTTGCCATTCACAACTTGTACCCTCCCCTGAGCTCATTCTCAAGCCTATAAATAGATTCTACAGCCTATAAATAGTCCTCATCCCCTTAGTTCACTTCCCATACCAAAATCCCACCATAGAAGCTCGAGTGAGTTCCGAGAAGATAAATTTATCGTCTTTAGCTTTCTTTTTTAATTATATTTTATTTTTAATTGTATTTTCTTCTTTAGTTAGAACTTAGATATCATTTCTTTTCTGACCCTTCATGTGTTAGATTTCTTAAGTGTCAACCTGAGGCTTGCGCATTGTCCGAGGCATGTGCATTGTCCGAGGCCTTACAAAATTAACAAACTGGTTGATTAATGATAGTTACACATTTGAAACTCCATGCAGTGAATCAACTGATATACTACTTGGAAATGCACTAAGAATAAGTTTCAAAAAAAAAAATGCACTAAGAATAGATATTTATATGGTATGATATTGGGTTATAAAAAGGGATAGGCGCTCAAAGGCGAGTTCGCGCTTCAAAATATCTTATACTGCATGCATTAAAGTATATATTAACTTATTGAGTCATTCATAAATGAACACACCAGTCTTGCAATATTAATATATGAACTAGATTTTTACCCCCATTTTCAAAGCGCGGAACTATTTTTTGTTGACAAATTTATCAACCTATCTCGTTGTTCACTAATATGCTTAGGTGTGTGCGTTTGGTTTTCGGTTTGGTTATGGTTTTTGTTTATTTGGTTCAAGAGATATAAAAACCGTTTAACTATATATGAACTTGGATTTGGTATTGGTTTTGTTATTTTAGTGTTTGGTTTGATCTAGATAACAATGTAGGGAACCCAACAAAATTTTGAGTTCAATTTGTTTCTCGTTCGGTTCCCGATTTTGGATAATTTTGAATTATTTGGATAAAAATCACATACTTAAGATTTTGGATAAAATATCAGATCACTCGGATAAATTTAAATATCTAGAAAATAAAAATATTATAGTGATTTGATTGTGTCGGAGAACTAGGATATTTTGGATAAAAAGTAATAGGGTATTTGATTTTTTGATAGTTTGGTATCTACTATAATTAAAAGGGTTAATTCTAGCCAGATTAGAGTGTCCACGTCCTCAAATATATTCAACCAATAGAAAATCAACTTTTCACCACGTCAGCGAGCTTGCTTCATCGTATGGGCTTGAAATCTCCCCGGCCCGGTAAATTTCCATTTCGAGTAACCCGTGAAACCCATCAAACGGCAAAGACCCCTTCTCCCCTTTCGTGAAGTGAAAACCCTAATTTACCAAAATTGGTTCACAAATCATTTCTCTTCGTCTTCTTCGTTTCCTCCGTTTCACGAATCTTTTAATCAATTCACTCCCCACTTCTGTACACTCTTGAATCTCTTTAATGGATTCTTTTCATTTTCTCTCTCTGAGTTTCTATATAAATCTCTTACTCCATGTTTTATTTCCATCAAAAGTTGTTCTATCCTCTTGATTGTACATTACGATGTTCCTGAAATTGATTAAGATGGTGGAGGTGGAGTGGCGCCCAGCGATGTCAGATTTGATGATGGTGGACCATAGTCATCTATCCCACCCACCACCATCCTCTCTATCATAAACCGCAGCGGTCATGACCATAAAAGGCGTTCGTGAGCAGTGGAGGCCTTTGTTAGCAAAGGTAGTGGTTATGAGCAGAGGCGGCAGCAGTGGTCGCGAGCAGAGGCGGCGAACAGAGGCGGAGAAGACGCACCTGATGTTTAGGTTTAGTTGTTGATTAATTAGGTTTTGGTATAGAGTATATGATTGGGTAATTGTTGTCTCTTAGTTTTTGCAAGTGTTCAAGAGTTCCTGGTGTTCTCTTTGTGCTTATGGACACTTATGTTGATCTACAGTTCAGAAAATACAGAGGTAATTATTTCTCTCTTATCTCTTCCTCATTTACATCTCACTGTTTGTGTAATGTTTGTTGCCTTCATTTGGCCTGATCTAAAAACTCTAGACTTATTAGTGGCTTTGTATATCATTTTCAGATATATCGATCATCAATACTTTTACAAAGGATCAATGGCAGGTGAAGACTTTTAAGTTTTCTTACCTTCTGAATTATTCCTTTTAACAAAGGTTTCTGGATGGGATATGGCTAATGATAATGGTACACTAAAGCAGCATCGGTCATGGGTAGTAAAAGTTTTCCAAAAGGACTAGACTTCTTAAAGCGTGTTGCTGATATCAGGAGATAGCGTGGGGAGAGATGTGTTACTATTATTGTCTCTGAAGCAAGGATCGGTTTGATGCAGGCCATACCCCAGATTTGCATCTGGTAGGCTGGAATAATATGAATATCGATATATGGACACATGCCATAGGTGAGAATCATAGTCCATGTTGTTGATGTGAAGATATGAATCTTATCAAATGCCTGAAACATCTTTCTAATCATATTTTTGGTGGATTTTATTAGTCGCAAGTGTCTAATAAGCTATATCTGATTCTCTTGCAATACGTGGTGTGACAGAGAACGACTTCATTCGTGCTGCTAAGATCAACGAGCTCCATGTGGAAGATCGTCTGAGGAAGAAGAAAGTTGCCAAAGAAGGATGTTTTGGTCTACAAACTCTGCCAAACAAGCTTTAGATCTATGCAAGATGAGAATAAAAAGTGAGCTAGAGTGAAAGTTTGATGTTTCTTCAGCGTCTATGGTTTTTGTAAAGCTGTTTCTGTCCTTACAATCTCAAAACCCACAGATAAGGCAGTGTGGCTACAGGTGTGGAAGCAAGTACTATCTGTTTCACAGCAAATTAATAATTTCAGGTGTAAATACAGTAAGTATGTTTGTTTATTTACAACCACAAACTATCCAAACAAATCTCCATAACCTATTTAACATTCAAGAATTTGCATGAATCTATATAAAAGACGCTTATCATTCTTCCAAATATATAAAAGCCAGTTCAACAAGTTCAGTCTTCAGAAAACGATGAAGTTGTTGATGACCGAATAGTTTCACAGCATACAAATGCTTCTTTTGCCTTTTTTCTTCTCCAGATTAAGCTCAGAGCTTTTTCATAGCTATCAGCATTGAATCAAGTTGGTGTACTTATCGTTTCAACCATTTTTCATGCTAGAGCTGGTACAGGTTCTACAACAATTTACATTGAGCGCAAATTTAATAACTTTTAGCCTCTGAGTTAGCCACTAATATTTTTTAAGAGATGGGTAGGTTAATTTCTTTTTAAAAAAATTCACCATATTCGACTCAAGTCTTTTCACCGCAACGCCATTAATATCTGCCATTTTGGGTATAAACATGGATAAAGCTCGCCTGAGAGCAACACTCTATGGACTTGCTATATCGACATTGACATTTCTGGCTCTTGCAGAGTCCCTGTAGCAATGGGGATGAACACAATCTTGACATCTCTAGACATGACAGGCGCAATGCTGAATTTGCTGTTCTTACCCTCCATCTGAAACCACAAACATATAAGTACCATGCCAAGTTACAAAACTAGAACAAAGATCCAATCTGATCCACAAAAATGTAAATTAACATCCTCTCATAACTCAAGCAAGAGTCAAGTTACCATTTCTTTGTCATGCTTGAGATGCTTTTCCTTGATGCTGGAAGAATCTGTAAATACAAAAACAACAAGCTTAGCACAAGTTTACAAGGAAAGACTAATGGTTACCATCAGAGCTTTACCATGATGGAGTAGAATATCAGCAGAAAAGTGATCATCCCAGAGACTCTGCTGCTCTTTGATGCATTTGCGGTGATCATGTAAGAACATCTCCCTAGCTATGTCGAATTCCCTTTTTGCAGCAGCAGCAGAAGAAGCTATTTGCTTGGTCTTAGAAGAAGCTTGGAGTTGACCAATAAAGACGCTTATACTAAAAGATTATTAATTAAAAATAAAAAAAAAGAAATATTAATAATATTAATTTTTAAATTACTCTCATATCTTCATCTAATTGAAGAGTGTGAATCAACGTAGGCCAATATGTGAAAAGCTGATTTTTTAAAAATAATATTATTAAAATTAAGTATGTATTATAATTAATAAACATTCTTTAAAAAGTTTATGAAAACTTTTCATTTTAACATTAAACTTTTATCCAGTTAAAATATTTTTATTCACTGAATAATATTTTCATGAAGTTATGAACATGCTAGGACTGTTTATGTAGCTATTAAACGTATTATTTATATAGTTCTTTATGATTCATCTACATTAGTTAAGGCATAAATCGGCACAATATTTTACAATACCTATGAAAATAGATTTTAACCTACAAATATATGATTCATCTTAGTTTTGATAGTATATAAAGTATAATGCTCATATTCAAATTAAATTATATACTAACCTAAATTACTAGAAAAAAATAATAGAAAAACTAACAAAATCTAGATGTAAAATAAAAAACTGTAATTAATGTTTTGAAATTTTTTTGGCAACGACATATTTTATTTAATAATAAAAATAAGAAACTAAAATAAAATAAATGATAATAGAACAAGTAAGTATTAACAAAACTTAAAATAAAATATATTAACAAAAAAAACTGCCCGTAGCACGGTAAAAAAACTAGAACATATTATCAAAAATCCAAAATAATAATAATAATATTACTTTAATAGGAGAATCTCTGCAAAAAAATAAAATTAAAATCAATTTTTAACATGAATTTCTGAAAGAAAAAAAATCTATTAAAATATTATAATTTATGGTAAAAAATTATAATATCCGAATAACACTAAAAACTGTGTAGAAAGGATGTTTTGAACCAATGACATTCATCATTTCTAATATAAGCATGTTAGAGTAAGATCATCCTCATTGTTCAAATATTAAAAAAAAAGAATATGATATATATGATAAGCGTTTAAGAATATCTCACAAGATTTTAAATAAGGTTTTCCTTATTTATCTCTTAGGTTTTTTAAAATTTACATTTTTAACGATTGAGTTATATACAGATGGATTTCTCTAGGTTGTGTATTTGGGTATAAGAATCTGCCAGTGCCAAGTCAAGTTAAAATTCAGTGGTGATCCTTTATTTCTCAAATACTTCTTACTACCAAAAAAAATAATGAAAGAAACAAAAAATAATGGAATCCAATCGACCTGGTTTATAACATCACATAAGTCTATTATTTTTCCCAAACATTCTTTTTCTAAAATATTCTTAAATAAACATATTTAAAAAATTTGTTAAAAATTTATGTTTCAATTTTAGAATTTCATATTAAAAATTAAGTATTGATAAAAGTATGGTTTTTTAAGCTTCCATCATTCAACCGATTTACAATGCGCAACATATTAATCAAAGGAAAGTACGATCACATAAAGAATGACTTATACATAGTCTCTACCTAGCTAGACCAGGTATGTATCTTTTCTATTTAAATTAAGATGTCTTGATATCTTTTTTAGTTTGAGTTAACTATTATAATCTTTATTATTTTCAAGCTATTTCTCTCATATGGTCCACATTAGCGCTAATACTCTTCTTTTTTAAAAAATACATTATCTCTTTCTTACATTATCTATGATCATTTAAACTATTCTCTTTATTTATAGAAAAGTACAAACACTCAATAATTACCAAGTTTTTCATATTTTTTTTTTAAAATACAATGTTCTCAATCCAAAAATAATATTGAAAATTATGATTATAATCTAAACTATTTATTCACGTATCCGCGCGTAGCGCGGAGAAAGACTCTAGTATAAGTAGTATTTTAAAAATATTTGATAAACTGTACAGTTAAAAATTTATAGGTACATACACTGTATTTTAGATAGTTTGGTTCTCGATCTGATTTGTTTTTGGTTTTATTGTTCCAAAGATACATAAACCGTTCAGATATTTGTAAATATTTCTGCGTTTTTTTGTTTGTGTTTCAGTTTGGTTTTCAATACTCAACATATCTAAAAAAAAATTGTACAATATGTATTGTATTTGATAAATAAATTATTTCATTTTTAAGCATAGATTTTATAAATTCATGATATTAAAAAATCGTTGAAAATATCAACTTATAAGTATAGAATATTTGAGTATTTTATGATTATAACTATGAATTTCTATTACATATTCTTGATGATATATAAATCTATATATTACTATGTACAATATTTTTTATATACTTGAAATATTTAGTAAATAATGAGGATTTTCTTTACTCACATTCTATATGATTTTTGTGTTCTAATATGATTTTATTGTTATATTAAAATTTGATTTAACTCACATTTTTCCTTAACTTATCCCTTGAATGAATGTGTGGAGGGAGTAACAAAATGTTACATTGGTAAATCTAAATGTTTGTATAGTTTATGTAGTCTAAAAATGGATTTTATACTGAATTACGCCTCTATAAAAGTACAAATAGAACATATAAACGGATCCTTAAGGGCATAATCTTCAAGCCACATATTTATGTTAATAGAGGTTAAACTTGTTATTGGTGAGGAAGAAAGCATATAAACAGTTCCAGGGTGCATTAAGTTAGGACATTATCACATAGAATATATAACTTTCTCAGGGATGGCTTGGATCTGCACATACGGCGATGGTGTGGAAGTGACTCGAGGCTCAATCTGCCAGGATCGAGTCTCCTCGGCTTGCATGGCGGAAGCAATAGCTATCAGAGGTGCTCTTCTCCATGCGATCGATCTCAATATCAATCATCTCTGGCTACGGTCAGATTCTCAAGTGCTCATTGGAGCTATTTTATCGGGAAGACATCCGACTGAGCTCTACGGAGTACTTTCGGACATCCGATCGATATCATCTTCTGCTTTTTCATCTTGTTGCTTTACTTTCATCAAAAGAGATTTCAATGGGACTGCGGACTTATAAGCAAAAGCTACCTTACATTCTGGCCCAGCCCATTGGACTCCCTAAACTATTTTCCTTTAAATGAAAGTTATCAGTTGCCCAAGAAAAAAATATAACTTTCAAAAAACTCTATATTTTCCTAGATTTTATTAAATTGTTGTTGTTGCCATGTTTTAGGTAATAGTATCAATTTAGGATAGGCATTAATATGCACAGAAAAAAATATTAAAGGTAAGTTTTTTAATTACTTCAATGGCATAAGATTGTAAATAAATTGTAAATTTAAGGATAATTTCTTATTGTATTTCAATTTTAATAGATTAGATTACTAAATTTTTTGAAAGGTTTTGTAGAATTTTTATATGTTCCTGCACTAAAATGCTTCTCAAATCGAAACAGGACAAAGTTCAAGTCTTTCTCGCTTCATGGTTATATATATATACTTCTTTAGAAAAGCCAACGTGTTAAATACACATGCTAAGGTTTGGTCTAGAAAATTGTAAGAACATACTAACCAATCAGAATGAATAGTTTGTTGGATAAGATGAATGCAAAAGATATAATAGTATTGCTTACAACTCAAATGTATCATAAGCAATATCATCGGGCCTAACAAAAATAGTATTGCTTACAACTCAAATAAGCACTAATTTTTTATATCATTAGAACAAGTTTTTGAAATTTTTAATAGAAATATCATTAATCAATCCGAAAGGGAATGAATAACGATTACAACAATATTTCGAATAAAATCTGTACAACCTAAGACTGTCCACACTTCCAAA